GGTTATGAAATATTTCATAGCCTCTGCACAGAATAAACTTTGTCTTTTATTAACCTTTTCTGTTTTTGCAGCTCTTCCGGGGACTACGTATCGTCCTTACCACTTTTTCTTTCTCATATCCATTCTTCTTGAGTTTTTCTTCTTCCCGTTAACACAAAATAGCGCCTGGTCCCAGGCCCTTGTATCTCCTCCTGGTCCCCGAGCTTGCTAGATTTTAGTTCGCGACTGCAATCAAATCAAAATTATAAACAACTGTAGCCACCCGGCTACACTTCTAAGTGTAGACCTGCCTCAAGCAATAATTTAATACATTAAAGACACCAAAAGCAGATGTAACACTGCAGACAAAGGGAGTTAGAGTAAAAGATCAATTTACTTATTTAGGTAGTAATTTTGGATAGCAAGTGGAAACACGTATGAAAAAGAAAAAAAAAAAAAATGACAAGGATTGGCAAGCGAACAGCGGCTTCCTAAAAGCTAAACGAAATATGGAACTCTCAGTTGTGTAAATCCTGAAACCAAGTGACTGCTATTAAGTTCTAACATTTCAATTTCAACATACGCCAGTGAAAACTAAAGTCGAATGCATTCGAAAACAATTGCCCGAGGAACAAATTGAACATAAAATGGGAAGAATTCAAGAGGGGCTAAGAAAGAAATTAGAGAAATTGGTCGGGAAACCACTAGTTAAAGTTATAAGACAGAGAAGAAAGCGAAACATTGGGTGTGTGACGAGAACAAGCAAAAGAATGTGTGTAAATACAGTATTTCTCTATATGTTTTCCACCAAACGTGAGTAAATACAGTATTTCTATCTATCTTCCACCAAACGTGAGTAAATACAGTATTTCTATGTGTCTTCCACCGAATGTGAGTATAAACAGTATCTCTCTATATGTCTTCTACCAAACGTGAGTAAATACAGTATTTCTATCTATCTTCCACCAAACATGAGTAAATACAGTATTTCTATCTGTCTTTCCACCAAACGTGAGCAAATACAGTATTTTTCTTCCACCAAACGAGAGCAAATACAGTATTTTTATCTATCTTCCACCAAACGAGAGCAAATACAGTATTTCTATCTATCTTTCACCAAACGTGTGCCGCGTGCGATATTTATGCCGAAAGGAGCTACTTCATAACTTGAAGTCTTTCACAATGATCCCGGCTTGGCTCCCATTGCCGCGTGCGATGTTCGCTTGATACACCGCACACTTGCCAAGTATCTAGGTATGCTCGATAGTGTAACAGTTACAAGTCACCACTCCCGCCCAATAGCAACAGAGGACGCCGGATACATGTTGAACGTCAAAACATAATTAATGTATTTCAACACCAAGACAATGAATCCACATGAATTTCTATACTGCCACAGTCATTCTCATTATCAAGGCCACACACACCCAGGACGCTCTGGACGACTTCTACTGCCATCCTGTTTCGTGGTTAACTACGAGCAAACATTACCCGCTCGTGCAAACCCACTGCTCGTGAGTACGTGTCTATCTCTATGACACCAATCCCTTGGGTACACTGTCACTAGAAAAATCATACAGACCGATGCACAATACCTTGTGAAGATTATCCAGACCTTCCGTCTGCGGCCTGACACGTACTTGAGATCTCCTATCTCACCACACGGCCACTGCGGCATCTCTCGCCGATAGCCTGGACACCTAACGCCAGCGTAACATGCGGGTGTGCAGGACTAGTCTGGCAACACCCAGACAAGAACCTACATCACCGCATCCTTCCTCTCCGGGGACTTGGAGCCAACCGTTTTTCTCTCTCTTTTCACATTCCGTTCAATGTGTTCTGTACTGCACCAAGTTTTACGTTCAATAATGAACTTCCCTTTCATATACCTATATATTGCACACAACAGTGAGCAAATACAGTATTTCTATCTATCTTCCACCAAACGTGAGCTAATACAGTATTTCCATCTATCTTCCACCAAACGGGATTAAACATGGTATTTCACTGTATCTTCTCTAACAATTGTGAATAAATTCATCATTTCCCTCTATGTTTTCTGCATACTGTGAGTAAATACGGAATATCTCTATGATTCTTACCAAATATGAATAAATACACCATTTTCCTCTGTCCTCTACCGAATGTGAATAAATACAGTATTTCTCTCTACGTCCTCTACCGACTGTGAGTAGATACAGTATTTCTCTCTACGTCGTTTACAGACTGTGAGTAAATACAATACTGTGGAAACCAACGCAAGGCGCATGGCCCGCAGCTGGGATCGAACCCGGCATCCCGGCATTACGAAGCGTTCCCTTTTGTCTACTAACCGTGGGGGAAAAAAATCTCCTTTTTCTGACACAAGGTGTTGATTTAACACAATATGGTGAGCATTCAACTGTTCGACTCTTTTCAAATTAATAATAAAGTCGTTTACAAACATACAAAAGCAATATCAGATTATAAACATGCAAAGGCAATATCACAATGCTCAAAATAGTTCAATTTCTTCACAAATAATACGACAATTTATGTCTGCACACTTTTGCTTGCTTACTGAACTGCAATAATCAAAGATACCACAGTCTCACGTTTTTATAAAAATATATGCACAAGACTTTTCAATGCTTGGTACAAGTTCACTGAATTTGATTTAAAAAACAAAACAAGAATTATCCAGACAACATGCACTTGTGTCGGCATAATGAACATGTATGGGGACATCTTGCATAGCAGGGTTCATTTCTGTTTTTGACTCATTCTGTAACAAACGATTCCGAATGCATTTATCAGTTTTCTACCGACGTTGCCAGACTACTTCCAATCTTGCTTTGGCTGTGCGTCATATCTCTTTTGTCTTGACTGACGGACAAGCGGATAAAACCACATTCTGCACAGTTCATGGTTACTCAACTAGTTACGCAGCCCTAAATCCGCAGATTCCAACCGCTCGTGTCCTACCTCGCTACCATTAACACCTACTTTCTCCTAGAATTAAAGCTTTAATCCTCTTCTAATTACTTGATTTATTGTTACATTCACCTTATCTGTGACATAATTAGTTCAAATCAACGATTCACTGTTGTAGCGTAAGGCATCGGGTCAGGTTTAATTCTCCTAACAGCTTGCAATTTTATCAGAAAAGTATGCTATACAAGGAATAGCTAGTGATTAATCTAATACAAAATGGATACAGAATATTAAACTATGCTTATAGCAACAGTTGTTCATTTTGCAAATTAGTCCCCCCACCTAAGCTAAGAATGACACATATGTATAATTAGTGACGCATCGTTCTTAAGCTTGTTTTCTCTCCCACGTCTCCTCTCTATAGCTTACTGCGTTTGGCCTCTTTCAAACTGCAGCAAGCCATCTTTTACCGTCTGCCTCCAAAGGAGTCGGTCTGCAGTTGATCTCTCCCAGGTCTCTGTGCCAGCGTTGATATCTTCTAGGTCGCATTTGCTTATGTCCTTATAGAGTAGTTGTGGCTTTCCTGCAGGTCTTATCTCTGCTACAACTTAATCAAACAGGAGATCCTTTGGAATGCGACCGTCCTCCATGCGAAAAACATGTCCCAACCAGCGCAGGCTTCTTTGCTTCAGTAGAAAGTACAGTATTGGCATTCCTGCTGTTTTGAGTAAACAGTCATTGGGGACAAAGTCTGGCTATGATATCCCAAGAATGCGTCTCATACAGCACATATAGAAGGGATTCAGTCTTTTCCTTCCCTTCTCGCTGCCGCAAAGAAGCTTGCTCAGGACGCAAGTTTCATAAACTTTAATTTTGATCCTATTCATAAGCTTTTTGTTTCACTACACTAGTAATGGCGTATACAGATTACAAAAAAATAAAATCCACTAACATTTTCTTCTTAGTTGTTTCTTATGCATTTATTTTAGTTTGTGTTGCAAACAAGGCAGTGCGATGGAATCTTCGTAGATGCCTTGCAGGGTCCTTTCTCAATGTCTAATTCTTCCTTTGTTGCTGGCAAAATCTGAACCATCTTTTGAATACAAGCTCCGGAGTTTGCTTAAATGCATTACCACCACACGTGACAGAGTCAGCGAGCCGCATTCAGTTTATGTGTGCTCTGGGCACACGGATAACATCAGATGGAAGATGCATAGCTGAGATAAGAAACAGAATAGGAGAGGCAAAAACCGCATTTTATAAAATGAAGAACAACTTGTGCAATATATCTTTGTCATTGAGAGTTAGAAAAGAATTCTTGCTTGCTACATACATCCAGTTTTAACATATGGCTGTGAATCTTGGAAAATCGGTAGGCAGGCCAAACAATTTCTTGAGGCCTCAGAGATGTGGTTTTACAGAAGAATGCTTAGAATACATTGGACAGCCGAAAAGAGCAACCAAGAGGTTTTGAAAGGAGCGGGAGTCCAAAGACAACTTACCACAGACATCAGAAGGAGACAGTCATCGTTTTTCGGCCATGTTATGAGAAAAGGGAAAATAGAAAATGTTGTGACCACTGGAAAGATCTGTGGAAGGAGAGATAGAAGAAGACAAGGAGAGAAGATTCTTGACAGCCTTGTTGCATGGCATGGGATGTGTCGGCACACGAACTGATACATGCTGCAGAAGATCGTGGATTATGGAGAGGCATGATCGCCCACGCCAGTCGGCAAATCACCTGATGATGATGATGATGACTGACTGACTTTCTATACCACCAGGACATTACACAAGCGATAAACACACGATGACACAATGTGCCACCATGTGGATGAGGATCACCGTGGAGAGGTCCCAGAAACCGCGTTCAGCCATTAGGCCAAATTTATGGCCGGGCTATATTGCAGCCCCTGACATGAAAAAAAAAAAAAAAACACGAAAAATTGTATCATAAAAAGGACAACAAGGAAGAGTCAATTTATGTGTGCTCTGTGTTTACAATGTAAAGCAACAAATTTGAAGTGTCTTGGTTTTGTGGTGAGGCGACTAGAACTATATAAATTCGCAGGAAAAATGGACGCAATGGAAAGGCTATATCTGAACTATTAGGCGGCTGGGTCGTATTCATCTTGACCCAGTTTTCTATTCAAAATGGCCAAAGGTCCTACCCCTCCTTGAAAGCCATTATCGTTATTGTTATAGGAACATCGCTGGGCTGTTTCATAAAGTTCTTTCTGCATCATGGCCAGGCTGATTTTGTTGGCCTGCAGAAAGTCTTTCATAGAAATCATCTCCCCTGAATTGCGCCGATATTCCGAGTCGCTGTCCACTTCAACATCTGTGACTGTCACTGTTGGAGTTTTGGACAGTCCCGTAGTTGCCACTCCTTTGACGGGTTTACCACGTTTTGAATGACCTGGCATAACTGAGTTTCGACGGGTCAAAGAAGGTCGGCGTATTTTGCATTGGCAGTTGAGCTGTCGTAAGATCCAGTTCAGCACCTGCTTTATAACGATGGATGTCACATTAAAGAGACTGTAGACGCAACAACAACCTAAAACGATGAAAATAAAATTTCCTAATCGGTAAAGCACGATGTTAGGATACTCCGCTTTCTGGCTCACCACATAATCTCCAAATCCAATGGTAGCAAACGCCACAAAACAGAAATACATAGCTTCAAAATACGTCCAGTTCTCAACAGGGTGGTACATGGCCGAGGCGATCAGAGCAACAACTAATGCTCCCAGCAATAGTATCAACATCACCCAGTAAACAGAAGGTTTCCAAGAATCCAACTCCTCATCAACCGATCCTTGGCTGGAACGGCGTCTACTGTTAGCCTTATCTTTGCTTCTGTGACCTCTTTCATGGATCGCCTTGAGGATGTATGCCAGGAAGGTGATGATTCGTTCCAGGAATAAGTTGAAGAACAGGATGGCGCCCGCACAACCGAAGAAGCCGTAGAAGACGAGGACGATTTTTCCGGGTATCGTTCTAGGGGTTGTCATACCAAAACCTGTGTGAAGATAGAAATACAAGATTAAGTGTGGAATCAAAATAATCAAACAGTTTTATTAGCTTCGATTTTCTCGCAAGTCAAGTCCAGTTCTGATACAGAGCAACTGTAACACAGTACAATTCTGATACAGAGCAACTGTAACACAGTACAATTCTGACACAGAGCAACTGTAACACAGAACAATTCTGATACAGAGCAACTGCAACACAGTACAATTCTGATACAGAGCAACTGCAACATAGTACAATTCTGATACAGAGCAACTGCAACACAGAACAAGTTTGATACAAAGCAACACATAACAATTCTGATACAGAGCAACTGTAACAAAGTACAATTCTGATACAGAGCAACTGTAACAAAGTAGAATTCTGATGCAGAGCAACTGTAACACAGAACAATTTTGATACAGAGCAACTGCAACACAGTTCAATTCTGAAACAGAGCAACTGTAACACAGTACAATTCTGATACAGAGCAACTGCAACATAGAACAATTCTGATACAGAGCAACTGTAACACAGTACAATTCTGATTCAGAGCAACTGCAACACTGTACAATTCTGATACAGAGCAACTGTAACACAGTACAATTCTGATACAGAGCAACTGTAACATAGAACAATTCTGATACAGAGCAACTGTAACACAGTACAATTCTGATACAGAGCAACTGCAACATAGAACAATTTTGATACAGAGCAACTGTAACACAGTACAATTCTGATACAGAGCAACTGCAACACAGTACAATTCTGATACAGAGCAACTGAAACATAGAACAATTATCATACAGAGTAACTGCAACATAGAATAAGTCTGATACAGAGCAACTGCAACACAGAACAAGTTTGATACAGAGCAACTGCAACACAGAACAAGTTTGATACAAAGCAACTGCAACACAGAACAAGTTTGATACAAAGCAACTGCAACATAGAACAAGTCTGATACAGAGCAACTGCAACACAGAACAAGTTTGATACAAAGCAACACATAACAAGTCTGATACAGAGCAACTGTAACACAGCTCAGTTCTGATACAGAGCAACTGCAAAATAGAACAATTTTGATACAGAGCAAATGTAACACAGAACAAGTCTGATACCGAGCAACTGTAACACAGAACAAGTCTGATACCGAGCATTTGTATTACAATACAGTTCTGACAAAGAGCAGCTGTGACACAGAACAATTCTGATCCAGAGCAACGGTAATACAGTACAGTTCTGATAAAGAGCAACTGTGACAATGTACAATTTTGATACAGAGCAACTGTAACAAAGCACAATTCTGATACAGCAGAACAGGACAAAGTAAAATACCGATACAAAGCAGATATGACATCGATTCTAATACCCTACAGCTGTCACACAGTAACATTCTGGTACACTACAATTATGACACAGGTACAGCAGATCTGTGTCACAATACAATGTTGGTACAAAACACATGTGATACTTTACTATTCTGGTACAGCACATCTGTGTCACAATTCAATGTTGGTAACATATACACATGTGATACAGTACAATTTTGGTACAGCACATCTGTGACACAGTACACCGTTGGTACAGCACATCTGTGACACAGTGCACATTTTATACAGTATAATTCTGGTACAGCACATCTGTGATACAGTACAATGTGGGTACAGCACACATGTCATACAGTACAATTTTGGTACAGCACATCTGTGGCACAGTACAATGCTGGTACACTACACATGCCATACAGTACACTTATGCTAAAGCACATATGTGACACAGTACAATGTTGGTACAGTACAATTGTGATACAGTACAATTCTGGTACAGTACAGCTGTGACCCAGAATAGTTCTGGGACAGTACAACTGTGGCAACGCCGTGCAAACTACCCTGAGATAACACACATAATTGAATAATATCAATTAGTTGACTATGCTAACTGACAGGGGCGATAAATCTGCTCCACAGCCCCCGCTGTCTCAGACTATCTATCAGCCCATGAACTGACATCTTCATATGTCATCGTGCAGGGCTGTTCGTATCTTTTCTGCCAGTTCTATTTTCATTCATCATTAATCTTACCAGTTATCAGATCATGCCTCTGGGTTTCTATTCTCATTTCGCAATTATTAAAGAAGAACACAGCAATTGAGCAAGTAATAAAAAATAGTGGATTAAGAAAACTCGTATGGGTAATCTATAACAGTATACCACAACGTTATTTATAAACAGCATCATGTCTTCTACAGTGAAATAATTTTGTTATAATAGATATCAGCGTGACTTTTAAAGAACAGTAATAGAAGATTGATTGATTTATGTTTTACCTCACCAGGATATCCCACCGGGCGATAAACACCTGGTGATGGCATCATCCGGGGATAGGTCCTAGACACCCCGTTTAACCCATAGGTTGGGTATATTAGGACCCCCCGGCAACAACCAGAATAAGGCTTTAAAAAAATGCGTCCGGCATTGGGACGCAGCATCATAATGATAATGGAAGATATGGTTTCTGAAACAATAAAGAAGGGTTGACCAGAACGAAGTTGGAGACAAAACATTACCGATATCGTTAGCATGCATTAACACAGGGCTTTAAAGATGCCCCCCCCCCCCTTCTCTCCATCCCCAACACTCTCTGTCGTCATCTATATTTTCTTTTCTCTATTTTCAGTATTGTTAAATAATTTTGACTCCTCTCTTTTCTCCCCCGCCCCTCCTCTTTCCAGTTTCTTCCACTGTCGTCCTTTCTCTCCTTTAGTCTTATCTCCCTTTCTTCTATCCCATATCTTTCCTCCTCCCCAGTTTTCGGTTTCTCCCTCCCAGTTTTTACTTTCGATCTCCTACACAATTGTTGGTCCACCCACCGTATAATCAGGGCCTAAGCTCACTTATAGTGTGTAGGTTAGACTGTGTCACAAGATAACTGCATCAGTCAAGTCTAGTTATGCCTGGTGGGAAGTACTAATACCATTTGCAACCATAATGTGTTCTCTAGTGAAGCAGGCACAGATTACGGTGAAAATGGCACAGATTACGGTGAAGCTGGCACAGATTACGGTGAAGCTGGCACAGAAGCTGGCACAGATTACGGTGGCACAGATTACTGTCTGCACAGATTACGGTGAAGCTGGCACAGATTACGGTGATATGGCACAGATTACTGTGATGCTGGCCATAGATTTCGGTAATGCTGGCACAGATTACGGTGAACTTACGGTGAAGCACAGATTACTTTCGATGCTGGCACAGATTACGGTTGGTCCACCCAGATAGTACAGGTGAAGCTGGCACAGATAAGCTGGCTTATACGGAAGCTGGCAGATTACGGTGAAGCTGGCACAGATTACGGTGATGCTGGCACAGATTACGGTGAAGCCTGGAACAGATTACGGTGATACCAGATTACGGTGACCTGGCACAGATTACTGTGTTTTACTCTACAGATTACGGTGAAGACAGCTGGGTGAAGCACAGATTACGGTGGCTGACAGCTGGCACAGATTACTGGGAAGCTGGCACAGATTACTGGGAAGCTGGCACAGATTACGGTGAAGCTGGCACAGATTACGGTGAAGCTGGCACAGATTACGGTGAAGCTGGCACAGATTACGGTGAAGCTGGCACAGATTACGGTGATGCTGGCACAGATTACGGTGAAGCTGGCACAGATTACGGTGACTGGCACAGATTGGTGAAGCTGGCACAGATTACGGTGAAGCTGGCACAGATTACGGTGAAGCTGGCACAGATTACGGTGATGCTGGCACAGATTACGGTGATGCTGGCACAGATTACGGTGAAGCTGGCACAGATTACGGGGAAGCTGGCACAGATTACGGTGAAGCTGGCACAGATTACGGTGATGCTGGCACAGATTACGGTGAAGCTGGCACAGATTACGGTGAAGCTGGCACAGATTACGGTGAAGCTGGCACAGATTACGGTGATGCTGGCACAGATTACGGTGATGCTGGCACAGATTACGGTGAAGCTGGCACAGATTACGGTGAAGCTGGCACAGATTACGGTGAAGCTGGCACAGATTACGGTGATGCTGGCACAGATTACGGTGAAGCTGGCACAGATTACGGTGATGCTGGCACAGATTACTGGGAAGCTGGCACAGATTACTGGGAAGCTGGCACAGATTACGGTGAAGCTGGCACAGATTACGGTGATGCTGGCACAGATTACGGTGATGCTGGCACAGATTACGGTGAAGCTGGCACAGATTACGGTGAAGCTGGCACAGATTACGGTGAAGAAGCTGGCACAGATTACGGTGAAGCTGGCACAGATTACGGTGAAGCTGGCACAGATTACGGTGAAGCTGGCACAGATTACGGTGAAGCTGGTAAAAATTACGGTGAAACTGTTTCTGTTGTAAAATATTATGTATTTTTCGTCTCTTTCAAAACTGGAAACTGATTTTAAAGTCACCCCAACTCTCTGGTACGAGCTAACAATCTATTTCAGAGACGCCAGAAAATAGCCAGTTTGGCATTTTGAAACTTCTTGGCAAAATAATGTTTTGACGGAGTTGGGAGTTGAGCCTCAATCATAAAAATGAGAAACATTGGACATCTGGCTCATGAGAGATCCCTCAAGCTAAACAATAGGGATATGTGTGGGATAGGAGAGAGGGTAGGGGAAAAAAGGGGTGGGCAGGTGGAAGGTTAGGAGCTCATCGGCCCTATCCTGTTTATAACCCATGCTGGACTAGATATATAAAAAAACCTTGATTGCTAAAGACGCCCGTGTGTCACCAGGGCCTTCACGGAAAGCAAAGAATAGTGACACAGCACCCTACCAGGCATAGTCAGACTAAAGGTAAGCTTGGGCTTGAGGTTGGCTACCTCATCATGTAAAAGACAATAGCCACAAAAACTAACCTACCATGGATAATTAAGGGGGAAAAAAAAAGCAAGTAAAACCCAGCCAACCAAGATGAGGGAAGGCTCTTCAAGTAGAAGAAGTATGACACGGTGTGGAGAAAGCCGAA